ACCTTGCAAGGAGCGCGGTAGGCAAGATCAGCGCTACGTTTGCCCCAGTCTTTGCTACTGATCGGCACTGAGCTATTGGCTCAATAGCATCGGCAAATAAGATAGGAGCTGCAAAGTTCGACCTCATCATGGACCTCCAGTCACTTTCGATGAGGACCCCTTGCGCAACGAATAGGAAGTGCATCCGACGCTATTAGCAGGAAACTGTAGCAAACACCTGGACGCAGCCTACGCTCCATGAGTCGACACCTGAACGAAAGGGGCTGTAGCAGAATGGAAGACTCGATGGAAACAGCATGCATCGACTGACCATGACCGAGAAGCACGCCTGACCATCTGCAGAAGTTTCATTCTTCGACCATATAGACACGACATTCCCTAGTTGGTCACCAGTGCAGATGAGTCATGAGTCCACCACGATAACAACACGCAGCACGCCTTGTGGCTACCTCGCAGCCTGGACTCACCATCTCGACCAAAGCATGAGCTCTTTCATCAGAGATATTACCCCGGTTCGTTGGATTCGCTGGGTATCCCGTTTTGAGAACCATTTCACTTTATGCAGACAAGCATTGCGAAGGTAACCATGGAATAGCTCCCGAAGTTGGCCGCAGCAGTGCGGGAGAACGGTTCGAAACGTCTCAAAATCTCCTTTCTCCGAAGGACCGCCCGAAATCACATTGCAAAGATAACTCGCCACGTTTCGAGGAAACTGGCTGGACCACGACACCACATCTATCGTATAGCCCTGACATTGCTCCATCGTACTATCACCTCCTCAGCTCCCTGAAGCAGCAGCTAGGAGAGAAAAAGTCAGTAAATACAACCACCCCAAAAACGACCTCTCCGAACTTTTCATCTCACAGCTTCATTCGTTCTGGGAGGAATGCATCCATTCGTTCCCTAGCAAATGGATGCATATCAGTGATTATGATGGTGGTTATTTTTTGATCAATTGTTTTTAAGGAAAGATAAAACTTGAAGAAATCAAAGTGTTGAAATTCGGCCAGAAATTATGGATCAACCCAATACATACAACCTTTGAGCGTCTGCTTCAGGAGTTTTTCGCGGCATCAGCTGTTCAACCGTGGTCTACCGGGACTATATTGTCGTCCGCACGAGGACAGGGATAATCCCGATCGAAAGTTCGAGCAGTTTGAATTTGGAGACAAGATCGCTGAATCGCTCAAGGAGGTATGTTCTCAATAACTATTGCCTAGAAGCAGATCGTGGCAATACTAAGGTGGACTGAATGTTTTGGTTTTCGCGGCAGAATGTTTGTTTGCATATTTCTCAAAAAGAAAAAGTCATAATGAGATTAAGTAATCACCTGGACTCCTATAATTACGTACGCAACTCCACTCAGGTGTCGGCGCTGAATCTCAAGAACTCACTAAGCTAAGGCAGGCACTGTGGTTCGAAATTGTTCCTTCTCGCAGCAGTGCTGAAGACATCCTAAAACATGGTAGACGCTTGGATTTATGATTAGACCAGTAGAATATAGGGGACGAAGGAAC